TTGCTTGAAGTATGATGCTCAGTAAGACTGGAAATGTGCATCGTGATCTGGGCCTCGAGAGGGAGATCATCTTACAAGCAGCTCCACAGCTCTGAATAGCTCTGAATATACTCTATGTACATGCCCTCATTACAGCCTGCTACTGCCTACTAGGTAGTTTTTTTATTGTCGAATAGGTGGTTACACACCAGATTTTCCCCGTCGGGGACCCGTCGGGAAACTGGTTTTTCCAAATCGTCAGCCCGACTCCCGACTCGCGGGGATCCCCGACCACCGGGGGCTTCAAAAGCTTCGCCCGAACCCCTTACCGATCGGGGGCCCCGTCGGGGTCCCCGATCGGGATTAGCTTCGGGGCTCAGGCTGATGACCGTGTGAGGACTCGCGTGGACCATATACAGGGAATTTGTCGCAAGCTTTTCTTGAATGACTGTAGACAAGATTTTGAACAAAATGCTTTAAGATTCACTCAAGTTCCAATTTGTTGATGATAAAAAACAACACTTCTAATCATTCAACACCCCTACCAAAGAACTATTTATGTATGTGTTCACTATCATGCAACTTCATGCCCACCATGAAGTAGAGAGAAAAACCTTTATGGGAATAGTAGACAAAAAAACATCACATGTGTAAGATTCACACATTCTTGACAACAGCTTTTGGTTTCTTTTTTGGGTTTTTGATCTCTATTCTTATCCATTTCTTTTGTTCAAATTTCCTTTCAAGTTTTTATTCAAGTTGAAGTAGCATGAGATGATTTCTAAATTCAACATTGACTTGTTTGATTTTACTTTTGACCCAGCCTTTTCTCCACCAGTACTGCTGTTCTCTGCCTTTCACGTAACCTCTTCTTTGACTTAAAGTCAACTCACCTCACTGTTCAAGATATTTTTACACAATTGACAAAGATACAAGAAGGTATATAAGGAGTGAATGATAAATAGGGAAGAAACTCAACTTGATTCACTTCCATCATGTGATCAGGGCTGTTTACCAAACATGCAAACTCTTGAGAATTGGAGTGGCTCAAATGGTGTTGACACCAGACAAGTCCATTGGTTGAAAGGACCTTGAGAGTCCTTAAACCAAAAGATCTGGGATACATATGGTAGCATTGCACATGTCAGTTTCTTCTTCCAAGATTGGCAGATGACCAATTTGCATGACAGTAACTCACTCACAGATTCAAAGGCACAGTGAATGCATGCAAAGACTTGTGCAGTGATTGTGTCCAGCTCTGTGATTTTAAACGCTCAATGGGTCACCAAATTGTCATGCCATCTTCCTTAAGGCTACGAAGAGGATTTTGAAGATTTATCAAATAGTCTAAATCAGAAGTTGTATTCTAGATAATGAGGGTCCAATCACAATCCAATATGCAGTCTCTTGGGTGTATCTTGAGATTGAAGCTTGTGTTTGTGCTGGTATTTCTATCACAGTGTCTGGCCATGCATAATATGACAATTATCTCATAATTCTATGTCTTAAGCCTTTTCATGAACATATTTCTCCTTGTCCCTGGATGATTTAACTTGAGATCTTCAGCAACTATCAAGTATGTAGACAGGTGATGATTAGTCAATGAAATGAAAGCCACACAGTTGAAAAGGGGTCCCACATGGATTGGGGTAAATGTGGGTAGACACAAGAGATTGGAACTTGTTAGTCAAGTGATTTCATTGGGGTGAGGTAATGTTGGAATGAAACTTGTGAGACTTGAAGACATAAAGATCTGTCTGATGTTTTTCTGATGCCTGTTACATTCTTGAATCAGGTCAGATGAGATAAGATCTTATCATTTTTTTGTCAGATCTAATCCTACAAACCAGATGGCAATGATGTAACAGTTTGAAAATCAGAAACCCAAAAGTAAAATGGAAACAGAAAGGAGACTTGTGGCCAGATTTCTTGGCCATATTTGGTATACTTGATACTTGCACATCACTGCAGGAAAAAATAATTTAAGACTCAAAACCCTTCCAGTCTCCCCTCTTTCAGATTGTGAGGTATTGTTGGAGTCACTGTACATGCACAATTTTGGTACATTCAGGGGCGGTTATTTTGTCACTGTAAGGAATTATTGCAGGCTTATAAGTAGCTGTGGTTTTGGACCATTCAATTTCCCCTCCATCATCTAAAATTCATACTTGCATTCTTTGAACAAGCCTCATTATTCCAGTTTGTTGCTCCTCTGTCATTCTTTTGCACCTGCTCTCTATGTGTACTTCTTTGACCCCCACTTTTTTGACTCTTTTAGGTAACCTTCCGACTTGTGACCTTGAGATTTCTACAGATACACCATCCAGACAACCACTCTTGGAACATATAGTGAGTGCAAAAAAATCCATGGACATATTTCAAGCCTTCACTGATGATCTTGAAAAAATAGATGTTTATCAGATCATGATTTGGTGCAGGTCATTCAATTTTTGTGCACTTCAAGCTCTACTGGCACTACCATGCTTTCATGTTATTATGTGTGCAAAGCAGATTATGTTGTTTCATGGTGAAAACCTCAAGGTAGTAGATGAATTGGGTCTATCATGGAAAGCCACAAATCCTCAATTCAAGTATGTAGGATCATCAAGTGGGCGTTGCATCAAAATTGAGGCAGAGAACTGGAAGGTTCCCCATTCAAGCCAGGACCGCTGGCAGACTTTGGTAGTTGCTTCAAAGAATGAACATTCCTCAATGCTACATGAACTTGCAATTGAAGAGGATCATATCAGGTTTGATCACAATGGATTATCTGTGAACTTGAGGATCACATTGACAAATGCTGTGGACAGGCCACCATCTGTGGATACCTCCCCAGAGCCCTATTACACAGTAACCAGGGCTTCAAGTTCAAATGTAAATTAGTAGTTTTTGTTGACTGACTAGCTTCCGATGGGTACATAACTGGAATTTCTATATAACTTCCTTAATACATGATCTTGATTTTGAATATCATTTATTGATGCTTTGACATAATGTTATATCAACAACCTTGGTTTTTAATCACCTTGAGACCTCACCATTTCTGTCTTCCAATTTCTCCAGAAAACCAGAGATTCAGGGCAGTCAGTCACCCTCAAAGTATCTATCAGTCTGAATTGTGTTGCTTTATGTCAATTTGGACTACTCAAATTTAATGATTACCACCCTGATATCCTCTCATCTTTATGATCCAATCATTTGAAAACTCTTTGTGGTAGATCAATCCTTGTATTCCACATGTTCAGGGAAGTTCATATGGTAGACACATCATATCACTACCATTTTCTCTTGTTATTCCTTATGCAAAAACCATATATCTACTAGAACAACCAATCACTGAAACTCTCCTGTTGTTGAAATCCTCTGGAAGTGGCTGTAACACCCCCAATTTGAATTACCCCAGTTGATTGATGTCTTATATTTGTATCGAGATATATCCCGCATATGATCAATTTTATAGATGACATGCTTGGCATAAATGTTACAATCCTTGAAAAGATGCGCCTTGTTTGAGAACTTGTTGGCTTCAATCTTGAGATTAGTCTGACTAGCCGGCAGATCAAAGATAGTAATAGGAATAAGTATCAAGTTGGCGCAAGATCACGCCCTTTGGAGGTTTTAACTTGTGACACTCGCGGTGTTTAGTTCAGCGCCCGAGGGATCTGATCACCGGAGAAAATAGGCATCAAACTTGGCCGATCTGAGATCGAAAAAGATGAATCGAAGGGGTTCAGCCCGCAACCTTTAGGCCAGTAGGCAGGCCATCTGAAGACCCCACAGGAGATTGGGGAGGCAACACTAGAATAAATGTTGGTACATATTTTAACGGCCTTCAAGACGAGAATAATCAGTATGTATAGATTTGAAACCGTTATGGAAACTTCTATGCCAAATCTCGACTATTTAACGAGGGAATTAACTGGATATCCTACAAGGCCGAAGACATTGAGAGTATATAAAAAGCGGTGATTGTTGGGTACTTCGAACCCACCTCTGCATCATCCTCCCTCCATTTTCGGATTCTTGCAACAAACCACAGTTTTCAGGTTGGTCTTGCCTCGATCGTCGTTCTTCGCGCCTGCTATTTACGCGCACTCGTCCCTGTTACGATATCTCACAGATATTATCCGTCTGAGCTACCTCGTCCTCTTTACAACCCGCCAACGCGCATCAATCAAGAGGGTCAAGTCTTTTGATTCCGCGACAAGTCAAGTATTCAAAGGGTTAGTGAGTCGAATTCGTGCTGGTTTTCGGCTGTAGATAGCTGTTGACAATCCCTTCCTTGGCAGATATTTCTCAAGTCTCTTGCAATATACAGTGGGTGCTAATAGTGATGAATCCCAATCATATCTCTTCCTTTGCAAGACGTTGAACGCCGTCACTGACGATTTGAACATGGACGCTTATCAGATCATGATTGGGCGCCCTTCATCAAATTCTTGCGCACTTCGAACTCTAATGGTACTAGCATGGCTTCTTATTGCCGTGAGTACGTCGGAAGTGGATTTCCTTTGGCGGACAGAAGCTATGCTATTTGACAACGAGGTAAAGCTTTCGTGGGAAGGTGGCAACCCCGAGTTCCAATATGTCGGTGAATCAGATTTGTTGCGCGGTAAGATAGAAGCCTTAGACTGGGTAAAAAACAAGTGGGAGCCTTTGGTAGTTGCTTCAAAGCGAGCGCATTCCGCAAGTCTACACGAGCTCAACCTCAAAGATAATCATCTGAATATCGATGATCCAACAGGCGTGACCTTTGTAAAATTGAGAGGGACGAAGCTTGTATCACAGTCACCAGAGTTGCTTAGTCACCTTTGATTGGTGTTGCATCGCGGAAAATGCCCCTAGAGCCTTGGAGCTGATACATTGAATATCATAATGATTCCCTATATATAATGATCAATCTATAGTCTTTTCTATCAATATCTTTTGCGCGATCTGCTGACTTGTGTATCTCCTCTTGGCTAGCTTGGTCATCGTGGTGCTTTTTTGTCGTTTCTTGGTACAAAACTACACCGGTGATTAAGATATAGAATTGCAATCTTTGTTGTGTCGCTGTGCTAGAGTGCTACATAGAGCATATCTGGTGGTTTCCCTTTTTTTGTAAACGTTGTCTGGATGAACTGTTTTTTTCGCATCTATTATCAGCAGAGTTTCACACTTTGCTCTTCCTTCCTTGTCGAACTCTATTCTGTTATTCTTGAGCATCATCTTTTCTCATCCAGACTGTTAAGTCTGTTATCATCTCAGTCTCATCAGCTGTAGCAGTTATCCAGCCTTGTCCTCTCGGATTTGAGTTCATTTCTGAATCCGTTCTCATGGGCACAGGGAGATGAAATAAGTCTTCGCGCGCAAACAGTCTATTGATCAATCATCAGAGCCTCTCCCATCCGTTAAGCTTGAGGTGATACATGTTGATATCTTTCAAAATAAATCTCACGAAGACTAACAAGCAAAAATGAACCTCATGGAGTACAAAAGTTTCATTGAACGAGTCAAAGACACGCCCTGACATACTGGGAGTCGGACTCACAATTGTTATCTCTCCCTTTGATTGTAGGAACATTTGTTTTCGAAACATCTGTAATATCTGTCTCTTTGCTATTCTCGATCACGTCTCTTTGCTGGTCTCAATCACACTTTTATCATAATCATTCAAAAAAACTATATTGAGAATAAAAATCGCCATCAATAAGCTGCCATCTAGAATCTCTAAGTTGTTCTCTTCTCTCCACTTTTAATCCAGAACCTCAAAGTATTGGTCATGGAATAAAATTGTCGTATTTCCACCAAGATAAATTCCAACTTTCGTTGGTTCATACGACTAAAATATTGTTTGATAGGAAAACTAATTCAACAGAAGCAACTACCGTTATTTTTGTGATATCTTTTTATATAAAAGTTCTTGCTTCAAGGAAGAGAAATCTCTAGGCTTTATCACAACAATCATTCAACTTACCTCGAGTCAGGTTGACAAGGGGTTTGATCACAAAGAATTCTTCATCTGATATTCAATTTGATTCTTCTTCATGAATAGACAATATGATGACAAGCTGCTTGTTGTTCTTGATATCCATAGTTCCACGGTATGTTGAATTTTGGGAATGGACAAATAATCCGGGCGAGTCTCAAGAGATGTTGAGGGAACGTAGGATGGAACGTAGACTTTGTGGTGATTCAAGTCGAAGTTCGTCAAAACATGAAGACCTCATTCCGAAAATAAACCATAGGGTTCGGAAGGGAAGTTAGAGTGGAGTCGAATTGAAATTTTGATGATGTCGATTCACTGGCGCAGAGTGTGCACTCGAACCAAAATCTGATGTCGAGTTTGAGGTATGTTTTGTGTTCCCCAATCTTTCCTCATGAGTCATGATATAAACCAGAATTTCTGTCTTTGTAAACCTAATTGTACCAGCCTCACAGAAACTCCCTTCGCCACCAGGCTTGATTGACTGTTGTAACAATTTATTCAAACCAAAGTATCTTCTTCAACTTCCATCTCATTCCTTAACATTCTTGTCAATATTTGTCCACTCAACTCTTTTCAAAAAAAGCCTCCAGCTATTTTCATCGTCTTTTCTTTCTTCCTATTCTTCCTTTGCTGTTGTTTTTCATTTCCCATTTGACTTTAACATTTTTGGCTATCATCATCAGCTATCATAGCAATTCATCATAAATCAGAGGCAAAGATCGCATGAACTGAATCAACCAGGACTATTTTACCGAGAAGGCCTACCAAGCATTCGCATATCTAGCATACCACTTTCCTTGCTTGATTCGACAGAGCCGAGAAAAACCACGAAAAGCAAAACTCATAGAGGTCAATTGAAAAGGCAATTACCGAAAAAATCACTTAAATCGAGCGATGAGAATCTGGAATGACTTCAAGAGATATTCAAGGATAGGAGAAAATCACGAAGGGTCATCAAAAGGGGAATTTTATTTTTATATCTTAGGATGGTGTATCATTTCCCTAGTGATTGGATTCTTACTCTTACCACCAACTTCAATAATCACAACCAGAGCCACAAAATATGATAAGTTTGAAAATCCATCACTTCAAACGTGGATATCATCTCTTTCAGTCCCCAAGACTTCCAAGCTTCTCGCAAATAAAGTCAAATCAGCAAAGCTCTTCGCATCTCATTCCTCGTCAATAAAACCCTCCATATCATCTCAATCAGACCGAAAAAAACAATTTAATCAGCCCTCAAATGTACTACCACCCAACCCTGAAGACATTCTCTCGCCTATTCAATTTCCTATGGTACCAATCGATACACTTAACACTACAGCAACCGGCTTAACTTACCATCCAGATGGCCGTCTCTTATTACAGTTCCCAGCCTCATCACCACTTGAAGCTCATCCCATCATGACCCTCATCGAAAGGGCTAAAGTTGAATGGGAAGCTAAAGTTGACCGTCAATCTAAAACTTTAAAAGAAGCTGTGCTAGAATATAAAAGGAGGTACGGTAGAAAACCTCCAGCTGGGTTCGATCGTTGGTTTTCTTTTGCTCAAGAAAACAAAGTAATCCTAGTAGATGAATATGATCAAATCTCTAGGGACTTGTATCCATTTTGGGCTTTGTGAGTCATGTTCTCCTATCTCTTCGATATCCAACAAAATGCTCACTATCACGCCGCCAAAAATCAGACCACCAGATGAACTACGAACTCGAGCAGAATCAATTGACCTGAAACACACCAGAACTTTTAAATTGAATTTCAATAACGGAACAATCACGAGAGAATCAGAATTAGAAAGAGCCAGCGCATTGGTCGACTTATGTTCAATGTTTAATGATCATTATACTAAAGCAAAATTACAACCTATTACCATCTTGATGGAAGAGGATGATAGTGCCCAGATTTTATTAGGCTGGGATCAATCGAGAAGATTATTTGAACTTTCAAGATCAAAACAATGTACGTCCAATAATTTGTGGCTTAAACTTTCCTCGCATTCATTCTCGAAAGAATTTTGGATTTCAAGCTAATGTGTAATACTCTTTCAGTTTTACCAAAAGAATATAAAGTACAAAATGATAGACATTTAAAAGGATGGGACGCAAACTGTCCTCCAACTTCTACAATTCGTACCAAGCAAAATCAAACTATTCCAAATAATCATTCATGGATCTATCATCATCGAAGAGCTATGGATATTTGTAATACTGATCCTAAAAGGATTGATTTACATGGTGTTACAGCAACTGCACCTCCAGGTCCAAGACCTCTAGTACCACTTTTCGCTTTCTCGAAAAATTCACTTCATGCTGATATTCTTGTGACGCCACTTGAACAATATCTATCACATTATCCTGTGTGTAATTCATGCTTCTATCTCTTCCTTATTTGGCTTTGACTCACATTTATAATTTTTCTTTGACTAGGGCAAAGAGATTCCTTGGGAAAAGAGACCATATAACAAACTCTATTGGCGAGGATCAACTACTGGTTTGTGTTTCTCTTTTGAATGAAAAATACTCATAAGAAAGATATTTACAAAAACACCTTGGGATTTATCTGATTTATCACAGGCGTAAGTCACTTGTTTATATCTGAAAGACATCAAAAACCTATCATTGATATATCCTTCTTTCATATTATAGACTGATTTTAGTGATCGAAATCCTAAGTGGCGTACATCACAAAGAATGAGGTTATACGAACTCACTCATCAAAAGACTAACCAATCAAAGATCTTAGTAGGTGGAACGAATGAAACAGATGCAGTCAAAGAGATTGAAATCGAAAGATCACTTTTAAATGAAAAATATTTCAATATCACTTTTGTTAATAAACCAATTCAATGCGAGGAACCAGTTTGTAGTCAAATGGCAAAACTAATCAATTTCGTACCAAGGGTAAAACCAGAAGATGTTTTAGAATACAAATATGTATTAGATGTAGATGGAAATGGTTGGAGTGGAAGGTTTCATAGATTACTTTCTGGGAAACATTTAGTTATCAAATCTACTATCTTTCCAGAATGGTATACAGATCGAATCCAAGCTTGGTATCATTATGTACCATCCAAAATTGATTATCAAGATTTATATGATATCACTTCTTTTTTCATTGATGGTCAAGATCATCTAGCAGAAAGGATTGCTACTCAAGGTCAACAATGGGCAAAAGATTCATGGAGAAAGGAAGATATGGCAGCTTATATGTTTAGGTTGATTTTAGAATGGAATAGGATTTATCATCGAAAGCAAGACGGATCTTCTAATGATTTTGATCTTGAGTGATTGCATATATACTTATATTTATATTATTCCTTGATTTAGTTTTGGGTTCCTCCAATATCCATCTTACAGTCTCTCACGTGACCATCTATTTCGTCATTCATTTTTCTCTTCTCAATGGCATATTATATCACTATGAACGTTTTATTGATTGCTGAGTATTTACCTCTCCTGACAAAAAGAGTGCGAGTCCTGATTCACGCAGGTTAACGGCACGATATCCTGTTGTTTCTTCATTGTGTGCGAGTCAGTAACTTTCTCTTTTCCTCTTCATTCCAATCCGCGCCAGAGGTACATACATGATTAGATAATGGTTGTTGAGCAGCGGAAGTTTGAATGGGTTCTTACTCATATGGAATTGTAATCGTAAATGAAAGAACAATTGACAAGCTAAAGACGATCGACAATCTCACCTGAACGGGTGAGATCTAATCGAATTCAACATTCTTGATGAATCTTGCAAACTTCTCAGGATGTGCTTTGCCTCAAGACCCCGGAGAGCTTGAAATAGCCCCGGGACGTGCATACAAGACAGTGAGGCTAATTTCTAAAGGTTGTGCGGAAAGTGACCAAGATTCGAAAACCTGCTTGAGGATTCTCATTTGTGTGTGCGCACAAACTTGGGCCACGTTTTCAGGGCACATCGCATTAGAGTTCAGATGAGATTGCCATTTACTCCAGGGTTTCATCAATTTCAGTGGACGATGAGCCATGAATTCTTTGCGATCGAGGTAGATCACCAAAGTCTCAAAACTGGAAGAGTCGAGATCCGACAAATGCGCAATCAGTCAATCAGCTTGGCCCATGTGAATATAATATGGATACATCTATGCATCCGTAAGTTTTTTCAAATCCATTAATCTACTGATAGATAAGGGAGATAAACCAAGTCACAAAGATTTCTAGATAATTAAGCTTAGTTTCATGTCTTTTGCCTTTTACTTGATTTTCCACCGCGATGTTTACCCCCACCAGAATCTTCAGCAGCTTTCCTTTTACTTTCTTGTTTGAAAAACTCTTTTCTGGTTTCTTTTTCACGTTCTGATCTACCGGTATCATTAGATCCAGCCAATTTTTTCTTATGTGCGTCTAACATAAACAAAGAAATGAGATTAGAGAAGTTCCGATGGATGAATTGTGCAGACCAGATTTCAATTAACTTACTTTTAGCTGCTTTTGTTTCTTTACGTTTGAGTGCTCTAACTTTTGATACAGCTTGAGCTTGTTGTAAGATATTCAATGCTTTCTTTTCCTCAGGTTGAAGTACAACTGCTCTTTCTTGTAGATAAGTGGGTTTCTTCTGTGGTTTCTGTGATTTTGGCTTTGTAGCAAATGGTAATGATGCTGATAACTTCTTAGGTATTTTAAGAGTGTTGAACCGTCTCGTCTCACGAATTATAGGCTACGTCACAAAATAAAAGTCATGAAAGATTCAAGATTAGTTGAAGCAAAAATTAGATAATGGGAAGGACCTTGAATTCTTACGCGGTAGTGTGAGTTGGCATCCACAGGTGTTGCGATATTCTGGTCACGTCGAACTTCTCCTGTCAATCGCATACCTTGCCATCTAGTCTTATTAGGTAAAAGAAGCGATGCAACAGGAGTATAAAACATCCTAGGCTTGATGTTGTACCATGCCCTTAAGAAGATCAAATCGCTCATCAAAACTTTATCTTCAAAAGTTGCTCGATAACATCCATCAGGTTTGGCGAGAGCTTTCTTAATTTGTCCTCTGATACCAGAAACAGTTCGAATTTGTGCACCTTCGAATTTCGCAACTTCTAAGGAAGTATTAAACATTCCTTTTACAAAAGCCGTGTTCTTGAAAATCTTGTAAGGCAATCCTGTCAGTTTTAGTTTTTTAACAATTCGGCTACTACCATCTACATCCAATACCACCCCAGTAGCCGAGATACGAAAGTTACTCGTTTGGTTCCCCATTCGGCTAAATGCGCACAACCCCGTGTTGGGTGCAGAAACAGGACCATAAAAGGTAGCTAAACAATGAGAATGTTCGGGTGTGTATTTTAGCATACGATTTCGAGTCCCATCGTCGAGAGAGTAAATGGGAACAGTCTGAAATCGGCGCCATCCAGCTGAAAGGATCAATGGATCGTTTGTCTTCAACACTTTCGGGTACCAACGATGTTTCTTCAACCTGACTTGTACAAATCCTTGACTGTCTTCACCAGGTAATAAACCTCCCAAAAGGAAAGGAAAATGAGGATCAAAGTTTTCCACTAGTTCTGGTGGAACACCAGAAATCTCGATCCTAACATAAGCACCAGGTCGATGTCCTTCAACTGCAATCCGTGTCTCAGGATCATCATCCGCAAATTCTTGTAAGGTGGCTTCCATCCTTCTAGCGATCTCTTCCTTTTGTTCAGTATAAAAATCTTTTTGAGCCTCTTCATCAGATGAATCATCATATTGTCGATCAAACTTCCGTTTCAATGCTTCTTTCTTTGCTAATAAAGCGTCCTTATCATCGCGAGGCTTTGGTTCAGATTGATCGATTTCAGCGCCTTCAACCTTTTCACCAGTCTCCAAATCCTCAAAATCGCCTCCTTCACTTTCGTACTTTTCATCGACTCCTCCTTCATCTTCGGCTCCATCACCCGTGATAAAAAGACCTCGAACGGCGTTTAACCACGCTTCTTGGCTCCAAACGTCTAAACTAGCAGCATCAGGTTGTCGATAGAAGGCAAAACGTTTGTTATTTTTATCTTCATCGTCGATCATAGGATGCTTTTTGGTGAGTTCAAAGAGTTCGTCTTCATCGACCTTGGGCTTTTCTGGGGCAGAGGGTTCAGGCTCCGGGTTTCCAGAAAGACACCTACAGACCTCACCAGGATCCATCGCTAGGTCATAAATTAAACGCATAGGGTTGGGTCGTGATCGACGGCTTGATGCCAGACGAGCAGCAGTTTCGGCTAGATTGTCTTTCCACCTTGGTCCTGTAGCGCTCATACCATCATCTTCTTCAGAATCAAGATGCTCAAAGCGACCATCATCATCATCATCATCATCTTTGTCATCGCTTGAGCCATTCTCCATATGTTCTTCCTGGTTGAAATCTAGCCCTAAATCTGAATCACTTTCTGCAAATGCAGCCTCTCCCGTGTTTCCCAGGCCTGATTGACCAGACGAGAAGGCCCTACGACGTAGTCGATTATCAGCTCGTGAAGAAGATCCTGTTGCTTGCGGGTCATCGTCAGGTATCGGTTCGTCTTCAGATCCCAGGCTTTCATCATCGCTAGCATCAACATCATCACTGGCATCATCATCGCTATCTTCATCATATTCATCATCACTACCCTCGGAAGAGACGCCAGAGTCCTTCGAGTCCTTCGAAACGCGCAAAGGTTTTTCTGATTTACCTAATAAACGGATTTGAGTAGAGTGGACGCTATCTCCAAGAGTTTTTTTAGATACTTGAAGATCCGTGACCATCTTCACTCCTTCTTCGATAGCATCACTATCAAGATCAGATTCTACTCCATCTTCATCATCTGATCTTTCTTCCTTTGGTCTAGAAAAATGTCCACTTGTATTCACCCAAACTGTATCACCATCAAAGACTACTGCACCACCTGCACCACCACTCATAGGAGCATGTACTAATTTATGCTTTTCTGCAATCTTTCGCCTCTTTTCACTTTCGAGAGTTGGTAAAGGACAAGGATCATTGATAGCCGACATCTTGGAGATAAAAAAGTAATCGACGCCAGAACCGGGTACGTGTACTTTAGGTGTCACCACATCGGAGGGGGGTCGCATTGGAATTCCACGTAGATAGCCCCATACAGCAATAGTACGATCGCAGGAAGGGGTAATCCTAACTTGTTCTCTAGGAGTAAGATCTTCAAACCGATCACCAAGAATATAAGGATGACTGTTACGGAAAATCAAAGGTCGGAATTTGACTACACTTATAAATCTGTACAATATAAGAATCTTGGTCAAAATGAAGTGGTAGATGAGATTATGCGAATAGAAGTCTTGAAAAACGGACCTAGTAAAGTTAACGATTTCGCGATCAGGATATCTACCATTCTGAACCCCACTTAAATAGAACATCTTAGCCCCATCATAAACTTCAGTCCAAAACCGATGCTTGAGACGTTTCTTTTGATCTTTTAAAGCTGCTGTACCTTTGATAAGGTCCAAGTGAGTAAGAACAGCCATAAGCTTAGGGAGACCATGCGATGACAAAGCCGATAAAGCCTCGAAAGTTTCCTGTTTTAGAGTAATCAAAGAACTGATCAATCACATTGTACTGATAAGAAACATAATTCCAACTTTTGACCCACCATTTCAAATCCAAAACTTCCATCAATCACAAGGAGTACTAAATCAGCTACTTTAGCAAGATCTACCATAGCACCCAAATCGTTAGGACATTCGATAAAAGTGAGTCGTCTATTTTTACCGGCCACTACTGTTACAGGTCCTTTGATTTCTGGAAGAGTAGTTTTTGTATATCTTCTTACAAGAGATCGAATCAAAGTCGTCTTTCCAACCTATAATATCAAATTTTCGGTAAGTTGAGAAGAATAAGATGTATGTAACAAGATATATTGAAAAAACTAACACCAGGCGGACCCATTACTGCTACAATTACAGGAGGTGGTGGATCATCCTTCACAAGCGCATCTAACGATCAAGAAAAAAAAACTATGAATCAGCCAAATTGAGGAATTTGCAAATCGATAATTGAGTTGAAGTCCATTTTTTGATAAAAATTACTTCTCACTTTTGCTATCTTGAACACTTGTGCCGGTATTAGGTCTTAATCCAAAAGTTCGATCAGGTAAAGGTACATGTAATCTAGTTTGATCACGTTCTACGTTCCTACGAGCTTGTTTTTCTGCCTTCCTTCCAGATTGAGGTGCAAAGGCCTACCGAAAAAAACGCAAAAAAAATCAAAATCGATGATGGTTATAAGTAAGAATGTTTTCAAGGTTTTGGTGTTCAAGAGATTTACGATTAGCGCTTACTTTTGGATTATGACCTTTCTCGGGTTTCTTCTTTTCTGCTTTGGCTGGTCTATGTGGTCTGTTGTTTTGTTGTTCCATCGTCTCTTGATGGAGTGAGGTGAGTTCACAGCCAGCAATTGATAAATTTAAAACTTTGGTTTTGATTTCACGTTTCACTCATCGAAAAAATTCGAACTGGTGACTTTCACGCGCGGCACATGACAGCGCAGTGACAGGTGGAAATATGTCACAGGCGCTGGAAATTCAGCGAGCTATGAGATGAGATGTCACATGGTCAACATACACTGTGATTCTTCTCTTGCTTCTTGACTTGAGTCGTTGTCCCTCTTGGCTGTCTTTCCATGCAAGGACTGGTGCTTGTCTCTAAAATCAAATAATTTGTAGGTGATTATTTCTGCTTATTAGATCACCACACTACGCTCTACTCACATTAGTGGAAGCTCAAAACCGAAGAAAAAGCAGTCGAATGTACTGCAAACAAGAAAACTTCAGATTTTTGTATCCAAGGGCTCATTGAGTGTATGTTGCCTTGGACTATGTGGAAAAATGAAGTATTCAAGGCTTTGTTTGGTCCTGACAAAAGTCTTGGGTCAATTACTCAGAGCATCCACTGTGAGTGGCACACAAAGAGGTCACAAATTGTTTAAAACCAAAATTAGTGCACCCTTACACGGATGCAATAGGGGGGTTCAAGTTGAAAATCCCGAGCAAAGATTTTTGGTTTTGCGGACCACTTTTTAAGTATGCTTGATGCTTAAAAAATATGATGACAGCGTGGACAAGTGCTTACATATAAGTAAAGATGGTGTGCAATAAAAAAAACAGGCTTTGAACCCTTCTGAAACAAAGGTACGAGAGGCTCACAAAAAGCATTACTTCTTCTGTTATGGATTCAACTAGAGGGAAACATTGAAAAATGGAACGCTAAGCACTAAAAAAAGTGCCGTTGACACACAATCCAAAAGACGTTTTTTTCTTCGTGGAAAAAAAAGGTCATCTTGCTTAAAATTATAAGCATCGACTTATAATTTATAAGTCACCCGAGCAGCTCTTAGAGCATCCACTATGGGTGCGTTAAGGTTGTGATTTAGCGTTAGAATAACGCTAAAATCCAGACAGGTCTACTATGGACCTGTTTTAGACATGCGGTCCGTACGACTGCGTCAAATCTTGCACTCCCCTTGTTCAAATCTACGCAAGCCTACGACTTGATTTATCGTAGACTTTTGGCGCATCAAATCGGTCAACAGCCATCAAATGATCTATCTGTATCCATCCCACTCTGCACTCACCACCTTCAATCAAAATCTTCCCTCGTCCCTCAAAATCACAGCTTGTTGATGGTAGCTGTTTACTCTGAATTTGCTAAAAAAAACGCATTTTTGTTTTAAAAAAAAAGTGATTCCGTGCGATTGATTTTCACCAAGATCGAGCAAGATGTGAGAAAGCTCGATGCTCATTGTCAAAACCTGAAGCCATCATTTTTGGTTCTTTCTGGCTACCAAGGTAGTCATCATCATAGAAGTGAGCTGGGTGAGGCGTGGTAAGATACTTCAATTCGAGTCTCGACTTTGCCATAGCGTGTATAGTGTTCTAAGAACAGATTATCGTAGTTAAATCCTACGTTACATCATCCCATAGTGGATTTCATGCGGTTAACAACTTAGCTACAACACGCATGATTAAATTTTGCGATCAGGACCGCAAAATTTACGATAAAACACCCTCAACATAGTGGATGCTCTAAAGCTGCTCGGGTGGCTTATAAATAAAACTATAGTTTGTGACTCCCGAACATTGCTTAAAATTCATTATAAGACCGATTTGTTTTAACTTGAACCCCCCTAATGGTCTGACACCCATATGTGTCCAACATATGAGGAGAGACCACATACACACACTTTGAGGTGTGGTTCACTTGTTTTCACACATGTGAAGTATGACTTTGGCCAGGTGGGCAAGTGTGAGTTTAGGGCTTGTGGCTGTATGGGATACAAAGTAAAAATTGGGATTTTTTCTCAGTGTACAAGTTTTTGTTTTTGGCTGTATTTGAGAAACTGGGAAACTGGAAAAAAAACTCCCAGTTTTTAATTTGTATCCCATAGCAGCAAAGAGATTGTGTGCATCAATTGATATATCTATGTAGGAATAGAGCAAAACCAATGTGGTGCTCTCAGAGGCCACATCCACCGCTGTTGCTATCTCAGGACACCCCATATGTTTGCATCAGAGGTCTTGGCAGTGAAGATGTTGAATTGCTTGAGAAAGGATACGGCTTTGTTTTGAAATTTCTGGTGGGTTATTTTCATGTAAGTGACACACATAAATTATGTCTTTTCTCCAAAGAACAATCATCAAATAGGAAGTATGTGTGTTTCTCTTGGAACCTCACAAGCAATAACCAGCTTGGTTTTCATGAGTCCCCAACTGACTTGTAGTTGATTGATATCTTGCTAGCAATTGCACACATTTTTGGAGTTCATATCGGGTGCTGATATCAATTTCTTGTCACATGATACAACAATTGTCACATGAATGTGACTTTGGAATCTTAAGGAATGTTGTTTAGACTCTGAGGTACCTACCTAGGGGTGAGTTTGATATGCTTATCTATAATTTATTCTGGAGGAAGTCGGATTATCATATTCCAAGTTCTTTTTGAGCTCAGATGTGGGGATTTAGGTAAGTATGATAAGCTTATCTATAACTTATCATGCAGGAAGTCCCATGATCATATTTCAAGTGTTTTTTTAAATGCAGATGTGGAGATTTAGGTCAGTTTGATATGGCTATCTTTAATTTATTCTGGAGGAAGTGCCATGATCATATTCCGGGTTTTTTTAGCTCAGATGTGGGGCTTTTGGGGGCAGTGTAAAACCAAAAGATGCAACTTGTTTACTCATCTATTGGAATCACTGTGTGTTGGTTGTTACATGTCCCTTGAACAGAAAAAACTAGCAAGTATATATTCCAAACCGTTCTGGGAACACCTACCCTAGATTTTTTGTTTGTGTCACTGGAAATACATTATCATTAGTGATTTAAGTGATAACATCTTTTCAATGACTCATCACAAGGCTATAAGTAGTGGCAATTGCCCCCCCAAATACCTGTCCATCATCCACACTTCACTTCAAAACCCTCCCCATTCAAACCTCAATGTTGCAGAGTGTATGTCCCCGGACTCAGGTATATGATCATTGTTAAGTGGAATTCCAAACCAGCCAGTTCCATGTTGTTCAGGTGTAGCAGTCGACATGGTATCCCAATCTTGTGCAGAGTGATCAAAGGCTTCTATTTTGCAATGGCTTCCAGGAATCTTTGAAATGAAGTGAAACACAGGAACCCTGTCTTTGTGAGCCCATGAGACTTTCATGTCTCCGTACTTCCAACAATTTTCGTACATGTCCACAGAATGGGGCGGTCAGTCCTCCAGCAAATACTGTACAAGGAA